TTTTCAGACAGCTTTAAATAAAAAAAAATTTATGCGAATTCAAACTTTAAGTCCGATTTAGTCCAAAAATGAAAACTGGAAAATTAAACAAATAGTTTTTCAGGTGACAACTTATAAACGTGGAAATATTTTTTTTGGGAAAGAATAAGACATTATTAGAAGTATATCTCTCTCCTTGTCATATTATCGTATTCATTGATATCCATCCATGGACGTTATTTCCATTTTCCTCATTTCAAGTTTTAGAAATTGTTTTTTTCTTAAAGATATTATGCTTAAATGCGTTACCGCTCGGATTTGCATTTTGTGTTCTTATTTTGAGCAGCCTTAATGGCGCTTAATAAAAGACATTGAAAAATGTCTATATACATTGCAACTGACTTATCAAACTTAATATTTTAGAAAATTCGAGACTAATAAGAGTAAAAATTTCGGGGAAAATACCGGATTGTATAGTGTGGAAACCTTAAGTTTTAGTTTCTAGTACCAGTGATAGTTATGATTGAAATTTATTGTATTCAAGCAAAATTACAACGAAAGTTAAATCTCTTTTTACAATGTTTATTTGGAAGTTTTTGTGAATGCTATGTATAATGACAAGGAAAAGAAATTCATTATCATTTGTATAACGAATGTAATTTACATTTGGATTGAATCACACGTGTCTTATGAAATTTGAATTGTACACTTGTTTAAGTCGACACAAAAACATATTTCATGACATTAATCCAGTTTCCGATAATGCTGGTTTTATTTCTTAAAGACATTTTGACAAAAATTCTGACATTCATCAAGTTTCTGATGATGCTGGTCTTCATTTTATAAGACGTTTTGACCTTAAATTACTGCATAGACAAATCGTTTTAAGGCATTAAAACATCATTAATATAATATTTGGGGCCTTGCCTCGAGTCTTGACAACAGACATACATAACTTTTTCATTCTTGCAATTTTAAAATTAAAAAGTTATGAAGAGGACACACAATTGTTGACTTTAAACATTTGACAAAAAATAAATGAGAGATGAATGTACAGTAAACAATCACTTAAAAGATAACGAGGATGTAATTTTTATTACGTGCTAATATAGGTCATGTAAAAAACAAGATTATTATTCATTATGCCCCTAATTTAATATAACAAGTTACACATCGGTGATAAATATTATTAACATCTTAAAAAATTCATATTTAAATATCAATTTTGTAAAATGTTGCTTTAAACAAACGCAATTTTATATTGTTGATGCCACTAGAATATCACTTTAAAATTTACCTTTCAGTAAGAATAGAAAAGAACCATGGATTTTGAAACGCACTTATACTTGAAAAAAATCCGAAGACCAAACGAGTATAGATAACTACAATAAAAACAATATTAAAAGAAATCATGTGACGAAAATTGTAATCTATATATTTTCCCTTTCCTCTGTATTTGACAAAGATTAACCTTAACACTTAGCCAGCTGTCTTTGTGTAATGGATTTACCTGGCTTTTCATTTGAAAAGGAACAATCCATTCAAAGTATAAGGGATTTGAATATCAAAATACAAAAATCCACCAGCATAGAGCCTTGTTGGAGTGTACGTATGTGCTGACTGGCCTCGCTCTATATTTGTGGCAAAAGATAGTCATTGTCGGTTTCAGCAGGGTAAGTGTTAAGTGAACAAATTGAGATAACAAAGAAATTAAATTATTTTCTAACTGATTTCATACTATTTTTCGTACTATGTTACTCAGTACAATATATATTCTCTGTCACCAGTATACACGTTTTTTTTTGTTTTCAAACAAAATAATTTACAAGAATATCATTCAACAATTTGTGGGAATAAACATAAGAACTCATTTTTTTAGAGCTACCTGCAATTCGGGTTTGGATTAATGTACCTAAATCTTGGCAATGACTTCATTATATGTTAAAATAACTATCATTTACAAATTTTGTTGCGAGTGCTTGCTGTTGATAAAAAGGTATTTTATCCACAAACTTAATTAAATGATTTCATGCTTATCATTTATTCATTATTTTCGTGTCGGTTAGCTCTAAGATATGAGAAAAGGTTTGATATTTCTGATCAACCAATTTTTGTGTGTCTTCCGTTGAAACATGGCAACGGCATCCATATTCTGAGTAGACAAAGTCTTGCCCACCATCGTTATAACAACATATACATGCCCCATCCCTCATATTTGGCTGAAATGCTTTACCGTTAATTGAAAAGCAGTCGTAATCTGAAATGAAATAACTGACTTAAAACAAATGAAATATTAATATATACATTCAGAGAAAGATTAATCTCTGTAAGGTATTTTCGTGCACTCAAAGCTATATGAATCAGAAACACCTTTTTGTTTTAAAGCGTTGTCATTGGTAAGATTTCTCGATGATTTTAAACAACGTTAAGCTGACCACAAACGCCAACATGTCATCAACATCAAACATTTTGACATCAATTACCCTGATTTAATTACTGAAAGCTCTCCACATGTTCTATTGTCATTATGGATGCCTTATGCAAATCCTCCATTCGCAATAGGTGTGTGGTCGTCTAAGCCATTCTCCCCTTGTCACTAGAAGTGCATAAAACTGTACACTTCTCACTAGGGCGCCAAAGAAATTGTTCACTTCGCACGAGGGGTGCCTAAATCAGTTCAGTTTAGCTTTGACAGTAGCTATCTACTCATGTATACTAAAGCCAACATGGTTGGAAAAAGGTCTGCTTTCACTGACAGAATAAGGTCCTATATCAAGAACTACTGTATTCTTGGTATACAGACGAAAGTCATATTTAATGAAATATGTCGTGTTTATGGTAACAATGAACTTTCTTTTTAATCTCTCATACGGCGGTGTAATAAATTTAAAAGTGGTATGGATTCAGTAAAAGATGCACCTCGTTCACGCTGTCCGAAAACTGCACCTTCGCCAAAAGGATTTGATAGCCACTAAACAATATTTACAACTAGGTATTTAACTAAATGCGTTGACATCTCTGTAAGAGCCGCTCATACAATGCTCAGACGTGATTTAAAAATGAGAAGGATAAGTGCAGAAGATTAAAAACTTGCTCGGGTTAGAATCTCTAAACAATTGTTGAAACAGTTCCCTAAAACCAACAACCGATATTTCATCACACGCGATGAGACGTGGGCTCACTTTTATGAGCCCAACAGAAATAAACATTACAAAATATGGGCAACCAAAGGAAGTCGAAGACCTTGCATAGCAAAAATCACCAGGAGCGTCAAAAAGGTGATGTTAGTAAGTTTCTTTATCAATCAATGTCCAGCTATTCAAATTGACGTACAAAAGGGTAAATCTGTAATTGTCAAGTTTTACAAAGGCAAAGTCCTTCTTAAATTAAAGAAATATTTCAAGAGCCGTCGACCAGCAACTGGTCTCTTTGGTGTCAGGTTGTCGTATGACAATGTTTCGTTACACAAAGGGGCCATTGTACGAGAATATCTGAATCGAGCTTCCATTCGCCATATCTTGCCATTTGTGACTGTTTCCTAATTCCGAAGCTCTAAAAACAACTTGCCGGAAGAAAATATCAAACGTGTAAAAATCTCGGTGTGGCTATTTTCCAGTGTCTCAACAGTATACCTCGAAAAGGTTATGAAAACGCTTTAAAAGACGTAAACTTTGTATTTCGCTGATATTCATTAAAAGGTTGGCAATTTTTAACCGAAATTAGTAAGCCCTTGCTGTTAAGAAACGGTATCGATTCAGACCAACATGATTGCAGTCTGACCAGGGTCTATACTGATGACTGCTCTAGAGTACTATTGTGACTCTGATATCTCTTAAATTTTCAAAGGATGGCTCCACTTTCTAAGCAGGACAAATCAGTTGCATAAAGTCTATTTGATAATAGAACAAGTTATAGAAAGAGCATCGAAACATGAGGCTATCTGATTTATAGAAGAGTGCTTATGGTATGAATCAGATTTCCGAGTGTTTTGATGTTCTTTTTCTTTTGTATCATAGGCACAAAAAACACGACGTCACAATTTGAAACCAGAAAAATATATAAGCAATGTAAGAACATATAAATATGACTTTTCTATTGTTATCACTCTCAATGTCGAGACAATAAGTTAACACCAGAAAAAATGAGCCAATCAACACGCATGCTGTATTCTCTCTCCCCCCCCCCCCCCCCCGCCCTCGCCGATAAACAGTGCAGTCACTTAAGTGAGTGTAACTTATACCTTCAATCGGGTTAACGCCCTTAGGGTATTGCACTGCAGTGCATATATAATATTAAATTTTGACGTGACGTAATTTTCATTTTAGAATAATAGTGCGCTAAATGTTAGTTACACAATAAAAGCGTTTCATTCATTTTTAATGTAAACAATTTGTTTCTTCTTCTTTCCTTTTTACAGGAGAAATTTGCAATTTTTGGGGCAAAAGTGTATTGATCGAACTTGTTATATTTCACATTTTACAGAAGAAATGGAATCGCAGTATCTCGCAATCGACAAAAACGGGAATTAAGTTAGTTTTAAAATATCTGTAAAAGCATAATTTTGTAAATGATGTCGTACATCTGTCTTATAAATGCTAATTCTGAGATTACAATAAAGCATCATTTTACAAAAGAATATAAAACAAAGTGTTTTCTTAATTTTAAATTTATTCTATACACATTTCACGTTTCGTTTATGACTTCGTTTATAAACATTCTCTATGTAAACAGACGATTTACTCTTACCTGATTAAGTTTGTTATAACAATATGTTCTACGATACGGCTATAAGTTTTAAGACATACTGAAATTTTCATTTCTGTTACGCAATTTTCACTTATTTGTGATATACTCGTACATGTTTATCTTACGCGAGAAGAATCCGTATACACTGTATATCAAATTTGCGGTTCAACAACTTTCTTTGTAACAAACCCGGAACCATATCATTTTGAGGAAAAATCCCGCTTGAATTTCAAAAAAAAATTGTTTATCTTAAAATTTATATTATCACATACACTTGCACGCTTAAAGGAGCATTTTGAATTAATGCGTTTGAAGATTTGAAGTCAGGGCTTAATAAATAGTTTGCCAACGATTGAATAGGCCTACGCAACTTTCGTTATTGTTTTAGAAACGGTTTACCACATCGGTAAGTAGTGTTTTTTGTTTCATGAAACTAAAATTAAAAATTGACTGAAATGCATTTGTTACTATAATATGACACTATCTTAAAGCATATCTCTTTTATTTGTGTAAAATATATTTACTGTAAAAACTGTCGAACCACTTTTGTCGAAAAAACTGTAATAGAGAAAGCATATTTTATATTAATGTCCACTTTTTTTTTCCTTAGGTCGTTGTTCAATTTATTCATTATTCGTTTTTAACAGGCGAAAAATGTCCCAATATTGCCCTTAAGACTTACTGCCGGAATGAATTTTGATGATTCCCAACAATATTGCTCTGATCATCCCCTGATAAAATGGCCTCTAAGCAATGTTGTCCTTATGCGTACAAATAGATAAACTTTAACCATCTTTTCAAATTTGATTAGTTTGTAGCAAAAAAAAGATAAATATTATAAGGCGGTGGCGCGAGCAAATGATTATCACGTCAGCAAGGCTATATTCTCAAATATATCCGTCTGCAACTTGTACAACGAATTAAAAATAATGTAAATTCTTAATCGCTACACTTTTTAAAGAAAACCCAACACATAAAAGACTTTTTTCAATGTAGCGCGGGAAAAGCGCAGGTAAAAAGATGAGTGCTGCTCGAACGTTGTTGTTAAATAAGAAGTAATTCAAGCATTAAGACATCATAGCGGTGAAAACTTTTGTTGAAGTAATATCATTTGAATTAGAAATATACCAAAAAAGAACAAAACACAATAACAAATTTTAGGCACACATATACTTTGAAGAAAAACATTGTTATTTGTTGCGCTTAGGTTCTTACGGTATATATTGCAAAGTATTCAGAATCCGAGAAATTTATTTGCATTATTATAATGCTCACACCTGAACTTAGATTATACATCAAATCAAAGGAATTTTGGGGAAATCTTAGACAAAAGGGGGTTTATAAAGTGATAGAATGCCATTAAAATGGGATGATATACTGAAGTCAAAAATCTTTATAATTAATAATATTACCCATCCAATATTCCCCTTTTTGATTGATCCGCTTGAAGAAATTTATATAACCGAGCCAGACAGGTAATAAACACATAAATTGTATCATTTGGGTACCCCACGTTGTAAACAATATGCGCTGTAACGATGCGCGTGCTGTTCGATGTTGCGTCCCGGTGAATCTTATTTCGACGTTTAATTTACAACATTGACTTATTTTAAAATCGTCTTAGTCGGCAGGGGACGAGTAATAAACAACATTATTTGGGTTTTGGAGTGATATCTGTGGATATATACCTGCCAAGATAAAATATTCGATTGAATGATTCCTGACAGGCTATATGGCCGTGTATAAACGGTCGTTTGCAATATAACTAACTATCGTATTGCGGCTGTGTTTCATTCTTTAAAGGACACCTGTATGTAATATGTGAACGCAATTTGCCATGGTCATAAGGACACTTTTCTGAAGAAAAAAACTTGGACATTTAATAAATAAGCCTTTTTTTTCGAAAATTAGGGCATTTTGAATTACCTGTAAAATTATTTTCTTTTTCTTTCTTTTTGTTTAGAAGCAAACTATCAAATTAAGCTTGGATGAAATGGTCGTTTTTCTTGAAGTAAATTTGACTGATTTTTACTTTCATAAGCTTTATCTACCATAATCTTGCATTAACTTTATGTTTACATTACCATTATATTGTATTAACTTTAGGTTTACATTTCTTTTATTATGTATTAACTTTATGTTTAAATTACCATTATATTGTATTATTTTTAAGTTTACATTACCATTACTTTGTATTAACTTTAAGTTTACATTAATAACTTTATGTTTACATTTCAATAATCTTACATAAACTTTATGTTAAAAATTCCATCATATTGTATTAACTCTATATTAATTTTACCTTTATCTTGTATTAACATTATCTTTACATAACGACCATTTTACATAACTTTATGTTTTATTACCATCATCTAACATCAAATATAACTTTATATAACCATTAGCTCACATTAAATTAATTTATGTTTACATAACCATCATCTTATATTAAATTTTGTGTTTACATTACGGTGACCATCATCTCACATTACATTCCTGTGAACATTACCATGCTCTTACAAATAAAATTTTATGTTTACATAACCATAATCTAACAATTAATTTATGTTTTCATTACCATCATTATAAATTGAATCATCACATAACATTAAATTTATGATAACATTAACTTCCTCTTCCCTATTAAATTTATGTTTACATTTCCATCATATAACATTAAATTATGTTTACACTACCATCATCTTACATTAAATTTATCTTTACATAAACATTATCTCACATTAAATCAATTTATGTTTACATTACTATAATCTTAAATTAAATTTTGTGTTTACATTACCATCATCTCACATTAAATTATTGTTTACTTTACATTACAATCATCTTATATAAAGTTTATATAAAGTTTATGTTAACAATTCCATCATATTACATTACCTTTATGTTTACATCACATTCAGCTTGTATAACCGGAAGAATAATTGACTTTCATATTGTACTGTCTTAATATTCATGTTTACAATATTCATGTTCAATACCATCTTGTTTCACTTTCAATTTTTTGTTTGCATAGAAATACACTTCTTTTCATCATTTCGATTAAAAATAGAGGGTAACGAAAGCCCAACAAGACAAAATTGGAAATGTTGCATACTCAGTTTGATTGAGTCTGTTCATGGACAGTAATGGAAAGTGCAAGTTACTGTCCACGCCCCAAGCACCGGCCTAGCAAAATTCAACATTTAATCATGTTAATGGTGAAAGTATGAATTTAGAAACATCCGCATATATGTTCATACGGCAGTTATCATGAAACTTTCAACGTGACTCTTTCATGCCATTCCATGATAAGTTCACCAAGTAAAAGAATGAGTGTCCCCTAACGAGAAAACAATGAGCGCAACTAGATAAAATTGAATTTTGAAAGGGGATCGGAGGTTATGAAGCCTGCATATCACATATATGACGTGAAAAGACAAATTTGAAAAGCAGGCAACGTATCCTAGGGGTGATTTAACATTATTCAAGTAGGAATAATATTGGAACCACCCAGCTAGAAAAAATGCCGAAAAGTAAAAACCTACTTGAATAATGTTGAATCACCCTTAGGATATGTTGCCTGCTTTTTAAATTTGTCTTTTGACGTCTTATCTGTGATACGCAGGCTTCATAACCTCGGATCCCCTTTCAAAATTCCATTTTATTTAGTTCCACCCATTGTTTTCTCGTTTAGGGCACACGCTTTTTATTACTTGGGGACCATACGCCGCTTTTCATGGAATGGCACGGAAGTGTCACATTGAAGGTTCCATGATAACCGCCGTATGAACACATCTGCGGATGTTTCTCAATTCAAAATTTTACTATTTCATGTTTAAATGTTGAATTCTGCTTAAGCCGGTGCTAGCGGGCGTGGACGGTAACTTGCACTTTCCAGTACCGTCCATGAACAGGCTCAATCAAACCGAGCCTGCAACATTTTCAATTTTGCCGTGTTGGGCTTTCTTTAGGGATTCTGTATTTATCTATTTTAAAATACTACAAACACAACAATAATGTCGTGCTGGGCGATCTTTAAGGATCGAAAATATAACATCCCTGATTGAATGAACGGGGCTACTTTTTACAGCCTCCACATGGCACAAACATTGCTGATTTAGCGTCTTACAAAATCTTGCATAAAGCAAGCAAGGCAAAAATGTGTATAGTTTCATCTTTATACACCTTTAACTGATTAAAGTACAAATTTACAAATGTTTTTTAGAAATATGACCGGCTTGTTTATAATAGAGGAAATTCCCTCTGATACCCGTTATTATAATTATTCAAATTAACTAAAATCTTATGACCCGTGCTAATAGATTTCCACGAAAGGCAAAAAAATAATTCTACGTATGCATAATATTAAGATATATTTGATACGTTTAACAAAAACTTGGTAAAATAATATAAAAATAAAAATATTGTACATAAAGAGTGTATGTAATAGATACAGTTAGAGTTTTTCTTCAAAAGTGTCTTACCGATGTAAGAATGCAGTTCGCTAAAATAAGCAACAAATTCATCGAGGCGAAGCCTTTACGTCTGTAAAAAGAGACTTTTGAAGAAAATACGAGTACAATTGTAATTGTATCTAATTTATACGACGATTAATTGTAAGAAAAGATAAATAAATAAACACATTTCATATTAAATAACGTAATCTAAAAGGCTTAGAGCTAAGATATTTGATGTGTAGCATTGCATTAAAGACTAAGTTTCTTCAAATCAAGACCTTGGGGTCGAAATTTGCCGTGCCAATGGAGTCACTTTGTTTAAATAAGTGGGAAAACTCTTTCCCAGCACATTAAGTTTAGAAGACTAAAACCGCTTAAGCCGGTGCAAGGGTTCGTGAAAGTTATACCATTTCCCTTCCTGAAAAAAAACTTACATTAAATCAAGTCAGTTTTTATTTAATTTCTTTGATAATGCTTCCGATGGATCGCTTTTTACCAGGTTTCCATATTGAAAGGGCCTAGAACTTAAACACTTTTGCTTATGAAGCATTCTAAACCACTATCATATTTGTTAAAGTCATTGTTCTTCCCCTCCGCCCCAGGGTCGATATCAAAAAAATCTTCTCTTCTAAAATAATTACGACTAGTCCTTAGAAAATTTTCAAGTATGTAGCAAATCTTAGCCCCATTTGATATAACATGTCAATTACCAGGTTGTTTTTACCTTTTGATTGGCTTCTTGTTTTAGAGCTAAAATATTGGAATTTAGAGCACAAACCTAATATGTCATGCCATTTGAACTACTTTTTCGAGTTGAGCTACAACTATATAATTTGGACCATACGCACAGTTTCTGACTTAGAATTGAAGTTTGACATCAGTTGACCAAGGTTCAATTTTGTGTCAGTCTCAGCTTTTAGTTATAATACAGTGTGATTTCTTTATTCATTATCATCTTTGCAAGCAGGATGGCACATTTAAAGTAACAAGCCATCATGGCAAGGATTACAGAAAGTCTATGGGCTTCTGCATATGTAAAAACATGTAAAAAGTTCATGCTTGAAGTGGTATTTTTTTGTATAAAAGTAACGTTTTATACGGTAATCAGCGTTAAGTTTCGTTATATGGTTATCGTATAACTTTGTTTTAAACGTTAGAGTTTGATACTATTTGACAATGACCATGGCCATCATAACAGTCACATGGCACCCTGAGTCACAAACCATTGATAAATTATAAATCCTTATTAATCCTTGTCATTTAGAGTCATTATAGACAGTTGTGCTATCTAGGGTAATCTTCGTCGTCGTCGTCGCTGTCACCGTCATGCAAAACCTTTGATGTAGCCCGTTATTCAAACATTCAAAGAAAATGTGTCAACATAATTTTGAAATGCTTGCTTATTACCACAAGGTGCAGTTGTTGGGCAGTGCGCATTAAAAGCAGTGTTTTGAGTTACATAAATGCCCTTTATAATTTTTAACAGATGAGCAATAACATTGCATGCGGTGCTCTTTTGTCTCAGACAAATTTCAGAACGGAAATAGAGAATAAGTTAAATAAAAAAAGAAATAAACAAATAATATTGTGATTATATCCTATTCAAGAAGGAATGATCAAACTATCTGAAAAGCAATAGACTGTATAATTATCACGCAAAGATACCGATATCAAATACTTTTTATGTGTGCTAAAATGTTCTAAATTTCATAGCTGAACATTCTATGACAATTTTCATAGGTTTTCTTTGACATAATCCGACGTTATCAACTGTTCATATACTTTGCCAATAATTTAGTTTAATTTGTTTTCAGTTGTGCATGATTTAAAACAACATTAAAGTTAACATCTGATTTTATCATAATACCATGTATTGTTTTCTCCACAGAAACCAAATATGACTGACGGTGACATTTGCATTCATGTAGAAGAAAGCAGTAATAATAACAACGAGACAGGTACAAAAGTTATATGTTACAGTTAGTCATGTTGAACTGCCATAATTGTCCCTTTGCCCTCTCTAGGTTTGTTAGATGCCCCACTTGGCTCCTTTGGTCTGGGTTTTGTTGGACGATAGGTTCATTGAATGCAACCTTCTAGATCTAGTTTTCATATTTTGTTATGTATTATTAAGACAATTTGCCAGTGACGGTTTAGTATTTAAGAAAAATATCAAAAAGAACGTTTAAGATGAGGGAAATATTATATGTAATCAAATGAAGGTATACGAGCTTTTTTCTTCTTTCATCAATGTATTTCCATTTTAGTTGTTTTTCACTTCAAATCACTTGCCCCTCACAGCTATAAGTTCGAACGAATCCCGAAAGGGAGTTTGGATTCGTTTACTTTCATGTTAGGAAGCTATCCAGCTAGCTTATGCAGCGTCGGTGGTTCTCGGTCTCGGGTGCCAGTTCGTATCTGAAGTAATTTACGGAAAAGCACCCAGATTCTTCATTCATCAATAAAGCTGTAATGTCTCCAATAGAGTGTTGGTGCTACTAAAAGACAACAAAATCATCTCTATATTATATGTTATTTTGGTTTTGGAGTGATTTATGTGGATATATTACCTTCCAAGATATTATATCTCCCGAGCCGTTAGGCAAGGGTGATATTTTATCTTGCCAGGAAATATATCCACATATATCACCCCAAACCCAAAATAATTAATTTATTACCCTTCCCATGCCGAGAAAGACTATTTTAAAATAAATCATTGCTGTTTCAATTGAAACGTCAAAATAAGATTCCCTTTAAGATAATCCTTCACCACAACATGACGTCACATAAATACATGAAGTATTTGCTTTCGTACCTAACGAATGTAAACAAGAGAAAAGGAGTAGTCTGTTGAATACACTCTTTTTGTAATTAATATCAAGCTTTGGCGAGGCCTTTTTTGTTTTCAATACTGATGAGAATATTAATCATTACTTTATTTTGGCAAAAAAATTATTTGACACTTAAAAAGTGCTTGTATATCGGAATTTACACAGCGTTAAATCGAACCGTACGCGCATCGCCACAACGGGTAAATTTAGTGTGTATATTACCCGTCTGGCTCGGTAATATCAATTTAAGAAGGTGGAAAAAATCTGGAAGGGTAATAAATTACGTATCATTAGCATTGAAAGTGGGGTCATGAAAAAAAGGGTACATATCTATTCTATTTGATATATAATTATATTTTATTGATATACATGTTGATGTTTGATACTGTTTTTCCCCTTCATTAGACCGTTTACACCAGGGAGAATCAGAGTGTTGTCCTGACTGTACCTGGAGAAAACCTGTAAAGTCGGTTCATAAAATTAAGAGGGGCGATCACATCTGTTTTAGGCCATATTGGTATTCTCCTTACAGACATCACGCAATCGTAACGAACGTAGATTCGACGCAAAAACAAGTGAATCTTATTCATTTCACTCGCTTGGATGGCAAGACTATTACTCGTTCCCTCTGTGGACAGAATTTCAAAATAAAACAAACAGATATGAAGTTTGAAGAAATGAACGGGCTACAGGTAGTCAAATACCCACATTCTAACCCAGAGCAAACAGTTAAAAATGCTGAAGAGGAAATGAGGAACAGTAAGGCGGTCACTTACAATATTTTCACTTACAATTGCGAGCACCTGTGCTATCGATGTACCATTCGGAAAAAGAACAGTAAACAACTGCAATCGCATTATCGTGCCTGCGTTCAGTACTGTTCTTTCTTCTCTGCATGGGCAGCAGGGTGGTTAGATATTTTTCAATGTTTATACTGATGTCCATTATTGATATAGCTCCTGTATATGCAGAATACATTGCGCATGTACTTTTAGAATTTGTTTGCGGTTTACTCTTTTTGTATTGCTTGATCATGTGCCTTCGTTTCCCATGTCAAAACGTGCCTACATTCCAAAGATGCTTCTTTCCCGAAAGATGCAATCGTTGCATTAAACGACATAATATTATTAGATGGTTTCGCTTCTTTGTTTTTGTGGTTATTCAATGGACTTCTTTATATTTAGAAATGTGGCTTATACAATATGAAATAAGTCAAGCAACAATAGTTTTAATTGGACTTGCTATCAGTATAGTCACATTAGTAATCGTCTTTTTGATTCCTGAGGTAGTTTGTTGCTACCGGAAGAAGTAAATTGAGGGTGTTAGGGTGCAATCAGATTAAGATCAACTACTGGACATTTCTTTTCGAGCTTCTTGATAATTCTACGCTTTAAGATTAAACAGACACCAACAGGAGGTCGCCAACTCGTGACCTTCCAATCAGCCAAACAATAGCTAATATTGTTTTAGTCATCAGTTTCTATTTTTAACTTTTGCGGAACCAAATTTCTGAGCCAGATTTTCACAATTTCAACATATGATGGGTGAATAAAATTTGCATTCGGAACTCTTCGTCGATTATTTATAATAATCTTGGAGATAATATGAACTGAAACAAAGACAGATAGTGTTATATGTTTAAAGTGAGAAACAAATGTTTTGTATTTTATGTGATATCCCTTGCAAAATCAAGTATATTTCTGTAATATTATACATGTATTCTGCAAAGAAGTATGTCTGATAATCAGAATCAGTTGAAGAATTAACAGTGACATACAATTATATACTTGAAGTGAATCTGCCCATAATGGAATGTCTGTCATACCATAAACTTTTATGTTGATAGTATCAAACAAGACAACTAACTACAAAAGATTGATATTATGTAATTAAATGTTATTGGTAAGATATTTCATTTCTTTATATAGCGTAGAATTTTATCAACATTTGTTTCGAACAACTACGTTTGTATTTATATAAATAAGAATATCCCAATTATATATTTCAATTGTTTATATAAATATTTGAAAAGTTTTTGGTAAATGAACCGATTTTAGACGTCTCAAACCTTATTTTAGTCTACTTTTATACAGTATGATGTAATAAACAAACTGAACGAACCACTGATTTACTTACGTTTAAAGTGTATAAATCTATGTCTGATGAAAAATTGTGTAAATATTTAAAAACAGCAAAATTACATTGTTTTCATTACCGTATGTTTAAATTTCTCAAAAAGGTTATAACATAAAATGTCTCTATTAATGAATACACATGAATATTGTTCGTAAACTAGAATAAAATGTTCCGGAACAAAATATTTCTCTACTATTCTTGACCTGGCTTATCATTTTTTGGACATGTTCCACTCGATGTCAATAAATAGCAACACACATTTCTTTATTTTAAAGTACTCTGTATCTAATCTGATCATTATATTAACAAAACTTATGCAATTATAATACATCAAATAAATAGCTTTATACACTTTAAATTTTGTTAGCTTAAGCCAAAATACCGTATATGTTATGTTGTTTAAATTCATACTATAGTAATACGCAATATAATCAGTTTGAAAAAATGGCAGAAGCTTCATTTTATTATTATTGTTATTATATTTCTTTTTAAATAATAATGGAATAATCTATTTGTCAAAGAGAAATATATGTTTACTAGTAATTGTTTGTGTATGTATTTTGATATTTTTGTACAGCGAAATCTGCAAGCCTGACTTAGACTTTTTTGCCAAATCAATTGCATTAAATAATATGTGATTGCTATTATATTAGTTGTTTTGTATTTGTCAATAAGGGTAAAATTTAGAAATTTGGTTACAGAAAAGTATATACGTGTAAATCTAACACTTTATATTGTTACATTTATGTAATACTAATTATGTTTTAAAACACAAGATCTATATTCACTTATTTCCCATAATCGCTTTAAAGCAGCATGATTCCAGATTCATGCTTATGTTCATGAAAATGTTTAAGAATGTTTTTGAAAGTAAAATAGTGTGAAGAAAATAAAGAAAGTAATTGATACATTACAAATGGCATTTACAAAAGGGTCAAAATATGCAAAATAATCTATGATACCCCCACCCCCATTTGTCAAGCAGCAGAAAAAAGAGTTAAAATACTGCAAAATCACAATTTATCGCATCTAACATTTATGTACATTTATATTTGAATCTCGAATCTTTTTACTTTTTTTACAATCTTAGTACATTGTCTCAAGTTTTATGAAATTTTATTAACTTTTATGAAATATTTTGGGTCATCTGGAGGCATCCAGCTTTTATAAGATTATTTATCTATATTTCTGACGTTTCGATAGCATATGTAACAAAAATGAAGCACTATCAGCAACCTTAAATAAGATGATTTCATAAGAACAAGCATGAGTACAGTTAACACTTTAATGAGAAAAAAAATCATTTTGGTGATTCTAAATTGTATGAAATGAACGTAAACTTGATTTGTTAAAAAGTAGCTAGGGGTATAAAGAGTTCACGGTTACACAAAAACTGTTTGGTTGAACGTTTAATTTCATTGGTTATCGATAAAGACACATTTATTACGAATATGTTTGAATTAATGATTTCATTTTTAAAGATTGTATTTTTTTGGTTGACAATTGAAATCTTTTTCATAATTATTTTTGTAATAATGATTATACATAAAATGATCAGAATTATTCAGACAATCTTCTCACTTCCCCTCGGAGCGTGCACGGCGGCGCTGGGAAGGCACAGGGCATCGGCAGAAGATTTGAAGAATTGGTGGCAAAAAATAAATAAAGACCAAAACTTGTACCTGCAGACCAGCTGCCGATATCCTGACAGAAGGCGACGGTAGTGGTCTTACAAAGTAGGCAGGACGACGAGGAAAGTCTGTAAAGGTGCCCCTAGCACAGAGAGTGACGGATGGAAAGGAAAACTCTTTGATTGGAACCAACAGCCATTTTCAGCGCAACCTCTTGTTCATATTGTTTCAGGTTACTGTACATTTAGGCTCTTATTGGCCGCCGTACAGTGGCTTACTTTTGGCTTTCATAACTTCGGCTAGTACTTCATGAGAATTGCGTGGAGGTATATTATTATCACTTTGTGCTTTAAAATTTACCCATTTAGGACATGACTTGTTTCATGTCCGGGGTCAATACTCGACAGCGAAAGCCGCTTTTTGTGCCCTACACTGGTAGATGGATCCTTATTTCATTCTTGAAAACGGGGCTGTCATATGAAATTATTGTTATTTTACAAGAATGACTACTCTGTCGAATTTGTTTGATTGTAGTCTTAACATTTGTTTAATTATGTCTCTTTGACCAGTTAGTCATGTCATTTCCCTGTCATCTGAGGTTCTTTGACAAAAAATCAGACGTGTTTGACATTTTGATATAAAGTAGATCTATGTTTTTTACAGACTATAAACTATAATAATTAATAAGGGTTTGGGAATTGGTATTGGTTTTTTAATTCATTTGCTCTTGTAAAATTCAATGTCAACTAAACTAAGACTTATTTTTAATTAAAACACTCGTGGATATAATAAAAGTTATTTCGAAAAATTTTGTACCGGATAGTTAGAATTCATGTTGGCAGCATAATTTCTTACCTTTTAAGTATTTCCTAGAATTGTGATGCACTGATGTTTGTAATTTACAGTAACTAGAGTGCAAACAGCGAACATCACAGTGTACAGAATATTTCATATTTCCACAATTGGTAAATTATGTTTTATATTATATGTCATTGTGAATATATATTTTGGAATATCATGAATATGTTATGTTAAGCATATAGTGTATATTGTTTTATAAGAAAATGGTTAAGTGGCCACTAGATTCAGGACCAATATGATATTAAAATATGCATTTTATGCATACATGATTTATGTAAGAAAGATAAAATACATGGAGTATTCCTATAGACGTATCTATTGATAGAATGGCTTGATGATATTAAGGAAATTGTAACGTATGTATTATACTATATATTTCATACTAATATTTGTACATGTGTACGTACAGGGCTAGATGTATTATAGTTATGATGTATTGTGTAACCTATTGTGTTGCACGTTAAATAGAATTATACCTTGTGTTGGAATTGCAAAGTGTCTACTACAAATTAAATCTACGAACCAGTAACCCTAAATTTTTGTTGTTTTTTACAAAAGGGATAAGAGAAAAAGGGGTTACATTTATATAGCTTAAATATATCAGATGAAGTTTGAAAAAGTAAAGTTAAAGGAAAATTGTTAAAACAATCATTCTGTAACATTGACATAAATGCGCACTTCTAAAAATATAATTTAAAGGGAACTAACATTTAGATCGCGTGATCCTAATTCTAGTTGTGGTATGGATACTACATAGCTTATTGTTACACTAAAACATTCATTCTCTCGTGTTCGTTTTATCGTCATAAAGATCAATTTTAAAGCAATTTTTCCTTGATTATATCTCATGTTTAGATATGATGAAACAATCAAATAATACAAAAACAGTGCAAAAAACAAACAGACGGAGAAACAAACTAACAAACAAACAAAACAAAACAATTTTTTAAACATTTTGATTACAATACTGTAGAGACAACTGGCTGCGATTTGTATTTCTTATCATAAATGTGTTATTTAGCGTATGGTACAAGTTTTTGTTTCTAAGCGAAGATTATGTAAAAAAAATCATAAACGTCGCCGATTTTTAAACACAAATAGACCATTCAAGTATTCAACTGGGTTTACATTTTTGCATATTCGACTCTCATCTTTGCAGTCGGATCGTTCACATCGTTACTTCGGTGTTAATAAAGTGATTTGTGAAATTTAGATTATTTAATTACTACTAAGACTTGCAATAAAAATTTGATTTATAGGATTTGAAATAACCTGTTATCGTACGGTTAATATAAGTTTACCAATAATTCAAGTTTTCATTAAACAAGTGTAATTGTTGAATAATTGAATAATTGATAAGCTAGTATTCCAAATCTAAAATATTACCCTTCAACGATTCAAAATAGTGTGACGAATCCGAAAGGATAAGGAAGATAACATACAAAGAAAATGGCGAAAAGATACAAGACAGTAGATACAGATATAGGTTTGATTTAGATATAAAAGTTATAAACTATGTTATTTATATTTTTTTCTTTTCTTTTTTTTCTTTTTGTTTGAAGGAATAACTAAGAAATAACTAAGGAATTGTTCAATACGATTACCTATAGACTTAAAAGTATCAGAAAATTCAAGAAAAAATATTTCTAGTAATTCATAGGAAATTAATACGGTCAACTGTATTTCTTTTGCATAATAAGGGAGAATACCTGGTATCTGCTAATACAAATGCAATTACCAATGATTTAATGCTTAAATTATGAAAAATAAACTTACTTAAGTTTTTTCTACACGATCAAATAAATATAACAATTAGTACAAAAATATGATGACCTTTAAATAACTTAAAGCAATTTTTACGTAAGACTTCCAGCAAATTTCTCTCACGTGAGAATACTGTTTTTAAAGCCCACTCGATGAAATAAAATTTCATCTTACACACAAACAAACAAAATATTCTCTATATCTTTAATATAACATCAGATATGGATGAATCAAGAATTCCAATTGCTGAAGGTCACCAAATACAGCAAGAGACAGACAGCATGGACATCAGAGGTAAGTGAAAGGTACAAGTCCCATCCCTTACCTCATAACACAATTTTGTACAATAAAAACTTTTATTAGAAACATCCTTCATGACCTCACGCGGCAGTATTCTTGGAACTTATTATATGATACTTAGCTATAATTTGCCACTTGCTAACGAAATAAAGGAAACAATTATGGGCTGTACTAAAACAGGAAATTGTTAGAGGGTATCATTACTATTTTGTCGCCTTGATATAGTATAAGTAACCTGTCGACGTTTCAGCTTCCTTGTGGAGGTAAAACGTCAGGTGTCTTTGTGGTTTTTTTTCTGACACAAGCGGGAATCTGTCCTTACCACCGGCCATCCGTAAGATAACTGAATAGCTTTTTCTACATAAAAGATTTTAAAGTCCCTTGATCACTCGGCCACATAAGTTCTGATTGATCGACAGTTTTCTAAAAATAAAAATTTGTAACTACCAAATCGAGGGCGTGGCGCAAGACTATTCTAACTTGTATTTTGAAATTTTTTCAGGAAATGGAAAAAATATGTTATTTTATTTTGATTTCATTTTTTGAAAAAAAAATCACAATCAATCTTATCAAAAAATAGAAATAAGTTGTGTACATGTTCATTTTTTCAAGAAAAGTGTAAAATATGGAATTTATAGCCTACATGCTAACATAGCCTAGTATTGCACTAGAGAAGCTACTTTTTACAGAATATTTTATTGTGCAAAAGTATTCTAACTGAAACAGTGTGTTGTGGTCAAGATATGGGTATTTTTACAGTGGTCTCCTTAACCCAAGTAATTTTGAACGGTTTAATACACCTAAAAGCTTCCAAAATAAAGGTTAATAATTTGTGCATAATTCAAATAAATATTATTTTTTATTTTTGAATTGGATTTAATTCAGAGAGATGATTTTTGCATGATTGTATTGACATAAAGCTTGTTTTATTCTTCTGTTGTTTTATTGAAATTTACTAAAAGTTAGTACTCAGGAGCACTTACACTTTCTACATCCAGTGAACTTGATTGGCCATAAATTATAAATCTTTAAATGTAAGCAACTTTAATATTCATCATTACTATAAAAAAGTAAATTTCCAGACTGAAAAGGGAAAATTTCTTCTAAAATTGTATAATACTGAGATCTGATTTTTTTTATTCTTTGTACTGATAATTTGAAATGTCATGCAGTCAGTAAAATAAATTAATCTTTACAAGTGTTTGAAATTGATTGTTACACTTGGCATAAATAAATGAGGAATCAAATTTTCTTCATCTTGAAAACAATGAAAAACAGGCAAAAACACATCAGAATATGTTTTAAAACTGTAAAATTTTGTAAAATATGATCATAGAAAAAGTGTCATAAATATTCTTGGAATTTATGACATCATGATAGCTTGTGATGACATGATCAAACTTTGTTTATTTTCAGTTAGAATAGTTAAAAAAGCAATAACTCCTGTCAACAGCATCTTTTATTTCGCTAGACTATTCTAACTTGAAGTTAGCATAGTCTTGCACAAAAGAATATCAAGTTTTTAACTTAAAAGTGATTGTCAAACTATTCTAACTTGACTTAGAATAGTTTTGCACTGAATATATTATATCACCAGATGGAATATTTCCTTAAAATGTGTAAAACTTAAAAATTAGTGGGAAATTAATTATGTCTTTTTAACAGAACATGCATTGAAGGAATTTATACAAGAAAATGTCAAAAAAACATTTTCTGAAAAATAGTTAGAATAGTCATGCGCTGAGCCCTCGAAATGACATTTCTGAAAGAACAAGAAAAATTAAAAAAAATACCCCGAACAACATATTTAATTTGGTAATCAATATTGCATATATAATCCTCATGAGCGATGCAGAATCATCACAGCTTGTCTTTGTCTTGTAGTTATTTTACAACATGTGCACGTTCAATTCCAATCATTTTTTTCATTACAATTCAAATCATTTAGCTATATATCTATAATATTATCACAAGGATTTGTGTGACAATAGTCAAGGTATCAAATGTTCAACTGCTGATAACTTTCGTTAAAAATTGAATTGCATATGATTTAAAATGGAAAATGTTAACATATTATTCATCTTCTACTTGTCACAAAATGTATTTTCCCCCACAGAAACAACAATTATGTCTATAGCCACCGAGGGTTTGCAAGAAACGATCGAAGAGCCCTACGTGACAGGTAAGTAATAAAAACTAATTTCTTCTACAGTGACTTTTCTCACAACAGCAAGTGTCCGATGCTGTGTGACATCTGTAAAACGTATGTCCGTGCTTCATCTGTTTTTTTTTCTCTTATTTTCCGATCTTCTTTCGGGTCCATAAATTGTGTTGAGGATTGAAGTATGATTTAGGCGGTGCTGGGATGCAAATGTAGACAAATGTAATGTCCCTAAATAACAGAAAAAAGTAAGAACTTATGGGCTGTACTAAAACTGTCGGCCATGGACTCCCCGACTTATCACATGTTAAGGAGACAGCTGTCAAAAACTATTTGCAACTACTTACAGGGAAATGGTGTTTCTGAAAGAGTAAGAAGAAACAGAAAATTACTATTCTAAAATTTAGTAATCAATATAGAATTTGTCCTCATGAGCGATGCAGAATCATAAATGGCTGTCTTTGCCTTAGTAGCTATTTTATGAAAAAATTCATGTAAAGTGGGCGATTACAAACATTTTTCATTGAAAGATAAATAATAGACTATCTAAATCATTTAGCTGTTTATTCTATAAAATTATTACCAAGTTTTGTTTAACATGAGTCAAGGTATCAAATGTTCAAATGCTCGTTAAAAATTTATTTGAATATGAATAAAGATGGAAAATGCTAAAATCTCATTCATCTACTAACTCTAACTTTTGTTCCCCACAGAAACAACATTCATGTCTAAAGACACCGGGGATTGTCAAGAAGAGAGCGACGGGAGCAGCCTGTCAGGTACTTAGTAAAATATTCATTGTGACAGTCAATTTTCTCACAACAGCAAGTGTCCGATGCTGTGTGACATCTGTAAAACGTATGTCCGTGCTAATTCTGTTTTTTTTTCTCTTATTTTCCGATCTTCTTTCGGGTCATAAATTGTGTTGAGGATTGAAGTATGATTTAGGCGGTGCTGGGATGCAAATGTAGACAAATGTAATGCCCCTTAATAACGAAAAAAGTAAGAACTTATGGGCTGTACTAAAACTGTCGGCCATGGACTCCCCGACTTATCACATGTTAAGGGGACAGCTGTCAAAAACTATTTGCAACTACTTACAGGGAAATGGTGTTTCTGAAAGAGTAAAAAGAAACAGAAAATTACTAATCTAAAATTTAGTAATCAATATAGAATTTGTCCTCATGAGCGATGCAGAATCATATAGCTATTTTAGGAAAAATGCACGTAAAGTTGGCGATAACAAACATTTTTTCATTGAAAGATATATGATAGACTATCTAAATCATTTAGCTGTTTATTCTATAAAATTATTACAAAGTTTTGTTTGACATTAGTCAAGGTATCAAATGTTCAAATGCTCGTTAAAAATTTATTTGAATATGATTAAAGATGGAAAATGCTACAATCTCATTCATCTACTAACTCTAACTTTTGTTCCCCACAGACACCGATGATTGTCAAGAAGAGAGCGACGGGGGCAGCCTGCCAGGTACTTAGTAAAATATTTATGGTGACAGTCAATTTTATCACAACAGCAAGTGTCCGATGCTGTGTGACATCTGTAAAACGTATGTCCGTGCTAATTCTGTTTTTTTTCTCTTATTTTCCGATCTTCTTTCGGGTCATAAATTGTGTTGAGGATTGAAGTATGATTTAGGCGGTGCTGGGATGCAAATGTAGACAAATGTTATGTCCCTAAATCACAGAAAAAAGTAAGACCTTATGGGCTGTACTAAAACTGTCGGCCACGGACCCCCCGACTTATCACATGTTAAGGAGACAAAAAATATGTGCAACTACTTACAGGGAAATTGTGTTTCTGAAAGAGTAAATGTCCGATGCTGTGTGACATCTGTAAAACGTATGTCCGTGCTTCATCTGTTTTGTTTTTAATTTTTCGGTCATTCGGGATCATTATTGTTAAAAGATTTAAATTTAGTTGAATATTGAATTATGATTCAAGCGGTGCTGCGATGCAAATTATGTTGCATACTTAAATGCATTTAAATGTATGCTTAAATACTTCGACATTAAAAATGCGATATTTTACCCCTTGAAAACGGAACAAAGCAACAACTTATTGGCGGAACTAAAACTGTCGGCCTCAACAAAAAATACTAGATCTATTCTAAAATCTAGTAATCAATAAAGATGAGACTAATCAATAGCTGCATTGGTAAGAAGCTTTTTTAAGAATTGTGCAAGTACAGTGGACGATAACAAACATTTTTCATTATATGATATATTATAGACTATACAAATCATTTAGCTTTATATTATATAAAATTATTACAACGTTTTGTTTGACATTAGTAAAGGTATCAAATGTTCAAATGCAAAAATTGAATTAAAAATGATTTAAGATGGAAAATGTTAACATCTCTTAACATCTCATTCATCTTCTGACTATTACTAAATGTATAGTTTATTACGTTCCCAACAGAAAAAACAAAATTAAAGCCTGAAGCCACCGATGGTTGTCAAGACAAGAGCGACAAGGGCAACATAACAGGTACTTTAGTAAAATCGATTTTCTGTGTCAGTCAATTTTCTCACAACAGCAAGTGTCAGATGCTGTGGTTAAATCTGTAAACGTATGTTCGTGCTTCATCTGTTTTTTTCTGATCATTCGGGATCATTATTGTTAAAGAATTAAATTGTGTTGAATATTAAATAACGATTCAAGCGGTGCTAGGACTGCAAATAACGTTTCACACTTAAATGTATTCAAATGCATACTTAATGCTACGACATGGAAAAGCGGCAATTTGCTCCTTATAACGGGATAAAGCAAACAAAAATGGGTTGTACTAAAATTGTCGGCCACGGACGCCCCGACTGTTCAGAAGTTAGGAAGCATCTTTCAAAAGACAATCTTTGCAACTTCTTACAGGGAAAAAAGATGTTTCTGAAAGAGCAAGAAAAAACCCAAAGAAAATTATCTAGATCTATTCTTAAATCTAGTAATTAATATAGATTCAGAATCATCTAAGGCTGTCTTTGCTTAGTAGCTTTTTTAAGAATTATGCAAGTAAGGTGGACGATAACAAACACCTTATGGTATACTATAGACTATTCAAATCTTTTAGCTGTATATCCTATGCAATTTTAAGAATTTGTAGAATTCTTAAGTTCAAAAAGGACCATAGTCGTGTCAAAATCTCTTTTAGAGTAATGAACCTTGGACAGTGCCCTCCTATTACGCTCTCAAATCAGTGTGTTAAGATTCGACCAATTCCTTTCAGTAGTTTTGGAAATACAATCTTGCACACAAATACGAAACTAAAATGTGACGCCGACAACGACACATAGGTGAATACAATAGCTCTCCCTACCCTTCAAACAGTCGAGCAAAAACAAGAGATTTTTAGTTAGTCAGTCTTAAATCTTAAATGGCGATATTTGACTGCCTCAAATAGGACACCATAGAAACAGACGGAAAGTTGTAGCGAACTTGATAGTGCAACTCGGGAGTAAATTTAGTTTGTCAGAAAAAGAATAAAATAAATTGGATGATCAAAGAAAAAGCTCAAAACCATGCGATAATCATTAATCGATTGGAAGACCACGAGAAAGTAACTAGCTATGAGTGGATATCAGATCTTAATGCGTGGCGTTATTTAGGAGCTTTGACGTATATCCGCGCTTCATCTGTGTTTTTCTTAATTCCCGAATTTCGACCTTCCGGGATCACTTACGTTCAAGCTTTAAGATATATTGCACACATCACTATCTTGTACAGTCTCAATAAAACCATGTCTGCAAACTTTTATTTTTTACTTTGTGTATAACTAAAATACATGTTAAATAATGTATGAAACCTTTCCAGTATCTTGTCAATGTTTTACTACTTTTAATAATTAGGTTAATAATAAAAATAATTACATCGTTCTTATAATCCTATTGTTTTTTCTTTACCATTCATTTTTTTATTTGTCTTTTTTTTTCTTCTTCAACCAAATAAAACACACCACCATTTGCGAAAGACAAAATATCAACCATTACTTTATTATATTTAAATTATGAAAATGTACGATTTTTATGTGGTCTATTTCCCAGTTCGATTTTCTGTTTTCTTAAATATGTTCTGTTTGACTTTATTTAGCTACAGCTAAAACAACTGCACCCCTGATAACAAGCAGTCCTACAGACGGATTAAAATGTTGTCCTGGTTGTACCATTAAGGTATCTGTTACGAGCATTGATGACATTAACAAAGGAGACCATATTTGCTATCGACCGAGTTGGTATTCTCCTTATAGACATCATGCAATTGTAGAAAATGTTAATGTGGATGAAGAGAAACTGGATCTAATTCATTTTGCTCGCCGAGATGGCAATGTTAATCGTTCCTTCTTCGGAAAGAATTTCAAAATACAGAAAACAGGTAAAAGGGTTGGAGAAATGAACTGTTTGAAGGTGGTTAAGTACCCATATGGACGATATAGCCAAGATGAAACAATTGATAATGCTACAAAAGAAATGAACAAAGGAGACGAGGTCACTTACAACATTTGTACATACAATTGTGAGCACCTATGCTATAAAAGTACCGTTGGTATAGAGAGTAGTAAACAAGTTCAGTCGTGTTTTCGCATATGTGGATTATCTGCCCAGTCCTTGAGTATCATTGTTGCATGGCTATTTCGATATTTCGCAAAGTTCATAATAATACCGATTATTGATATCAATCCTGTAATTGCGGAGAGAATTGCAATAGCATTATTTACATTTGTGAGCATTTTACTACTTTTGTACTGTATTCTTAAGTGTTCTCCTTGTTGCAAAAATGAAAATGAAGCGTGTAAAAACTGCTGTCCCAAACGATGCAATCTTTGCATTAAACGACACAATTATGTTAGATGGATTCGCTTTTTATCTTTTGTTGGTTTACAATTGCCATCCTTATTTTTAGAAATATATTTCATAAGAAAAGGAAACCGTCAAGCTGCGGTACTTCTCACTGGACTAGCCTTCCTATTTGTCACTTTGTGTACCATCAGTCAAGTGCCCAAGGCAGTTCGCCTCTACCTTACCAAAGGCAATTATTTGGATGGCAAAAATGATGAGGATAAAGGACACTAATGAGCATCAATCTGGAATCAGCTTGTCAATCAGCTTGTCATTACTTTATTTTATTTTATTTTATTTACATCTATTACATTTAAATCCTGCAGTTGTAGTGACTTTTTAGGTATATACATTCCTTTTGTGTACGGCCATTGTATGTATGATGTATGTACTTATACAATTGATAGAAATCTTGCAAAGTATGGTATATTTATCTTTTAAATATTATGCTGTACTGCTCTGTTACACTTTTTTGTTACACTTTGTTATATATATACATACATATTTTTACGACATGAATGTACATTCTATTAAAAAATAATTGTTTTACATATATAAAAACAACAAACATATTGCATGTTGACAATATCATTATTGTCCCCATGTTTTGAAAATAACATTTAGTGTTAGTTTGATCATGTTAATCAGTCGTATTATTTCTTTTGTGAGGTGGCTTCTAATAAGAGTGATTGTTGTTGTTGTTGTTGTAGATAGTATCGGACATACTAATTAGTCATCAACTTAAATTTTAGTGCAACATTAACATGTTTAAGATTATCCTCGTTCGCTGTCAAGACTGATAGATCGGACGTCAAAATATTATTCTAAAAGCTAGAAGAGTTTCACTTTGTTATTTGATTTAGGGAAACAATATATGAGAAACTATTTTGGAGGCACCAAAGCTATCATATTTTTTCAACTACTTATTTTGGAAGACAAAAATGACATTCTTATTGTATTTAAAGCTTTAAAAAGAGAAATAATTCAAAACACATCAAACTAAATATTTTGTCAGCATCGAAAACTTTTATCATCAGTAAGTACGTTACGTGTGGACATCTATAGTCCTTTTTAAGATGCGGTCCATTGCTATGAATAATAGACCGGAAACAGTATTTTCTCACGTATATATTCACTCTACCAAAATGATACAATGTTACAATGTTTTCAGTCTTATAATTTTTAAGTATTATATTCATGTCTCTTTTACTGAGAGAAATTATATATTTGTACTTACATGTATTTTCAATATTTTCAATCTTGTCAAACATGACTTATTAATGATCGCATGTCTGATTGATGTATCGTGTCTACTTGTATATAGGAACAATAATAATTATGTGTATTTGACTATTAAAACGACAAATAAACAAACAATCAAGTACCCATGCTGTTACTTCTTATCTCATAAAAATTGAGAATTGTGATATCAATCAAATTTCAGGTATATTCGCTACTTTATTTATGACCTTAACATTGTTAAAATTATTTTTTAAACTGAGCAACTAACTATATCGAAGATGCAATTACTGAAAATTTTCCATTCAGTTTGTTAAAGAACTTTACCTTTTAATGCAACACAATGTGCGTAACAATTGTCTTAAACAAGTCTTAGTTTTCAGAATGAAATAAGCTACATTCAAATATTCCAAAGGACATTGCTTACTGCACAGGAATAATTTTTTTTGAATCAAATGCTAATGAAATTAAATATTGGTTGTAATAAAAGAACGTTGACATGTTATATTGTCAAATGAACGGTTTGAAGATGCAATCAGTGTTTTTTTCTCATTTCACTGGGAAGAGGCCTTATTAATATTTCAAGTAAACTAATATGGCTTTAGAATAGTAAAATCACCAACAACACGTGAATATAAATTATATTTATTATGAACGTTACGGTTTACGCCATCATAACGATATATACTAAATTCTAACACTCCACGTTATTTTGTCAATATAGACAAAGAAGAAAAAAGCCGGTGTTAAACTGCCAATAAACACTGGTTAGGGACTACTTGTATATGCGGCTGTTATGTTTTCACCCTGGATTATATAGTTTACAACGCCTTTTAGAGCAACAATAAAAGCATTTTTATTTATATTTTCAGTTCTTATAATGTTTTCTTTTCAAACAATACCGAAATAATATCTCACATACACTAACACCACGTAAAATATTTGATATATTTTCAATGACATTTCTTATTAATGGACCGAGATGCATACAAAATGTATCATGGTTGTGAAACAGAAAAAAATATAAGACCAAACATCGACAAGGCAGAGTGGCCTTTACAGAGGGCAGCCCCGACAAGTTTGGCTGACCACCGCAAAGGCACACATCAGGGCACAATAGGCGGGACATGAATTTGGCGAATAAATTTTCAACTAAATAGGGAAGTAATAGTAAAATAAGACAGGTGTATTAAATTGTCAAGTGGATATCTATAATTAATAAATGTCATCCATGTTATTCTTTAGCAGTTTTAGATTTGATTTAGAAATGACAAGATATAACTATGGAACAGAATTAGTGCATTTATTCCATCTTGCTTGATGATATTGGGACTTACATTATGCTTGCTTCCATACTTCTTTATGACAATGGGAACCAACGTTTTGCCGAACACAATTTGCATTAAGATTACTTTATGCACTAGTATGTAATTGCAACTTCATGTGTTCCTTTCTGAACCATCAAACTCACATATTAAAACATGCTATATGTTTATTTTCATCTTTTATTTAGGGCGGCGTATTATGTTCGGTGTTTAAAAATAACATTATTTGCTTGTTCTTGATATAACTAGATGTAAATGGCAAGTTCCTGTCGGTACCTTTAATTTGTTATAAATCTGCCACTTACGTTGTCAACACTATTTCACAATAAATAATTGATTTTGATCAATACTTGGCGAATTCGATGTGTCTTAGCATTCATGTTTCCATATATTCACTGCTTACAAATACAATGCAATACATGACCACTGCGCATCGACAACGAAGATGACAACGATAGTGATATTATAGTCGCATGTTACAGTACGCACTAAGCAGTTGACAGTAATCATAATGCGAGTTGCAATATTTTGTTTTCATATTATGACAGCAGGTGTCGCTTTGTCGGTACATCCCGATATTTTTCGGATGGTCCCGCTATTTTTGCACATGGAGTCCTCTTTATGTAGGGGCGTATACCGTACAGTGTTAGTTGGGGGCTGACATGTACGTGAAAAACAATAGAAAACGATGCGACAGGGGAAAAGTGCGTGTTTTTGAAGATTCAGCATGTAATACGTACTAAGATGTCTCTTTTAACTCATCCTACAAGTGGCAAAACACCTCTTACACATTGTTTATACACCTTTTTCAGTGTGTGCCGAAGTCATATGTACAATAGTGAAATTGAATTTAAAGATTGATTCAAAGTTGATATTTGAAAATATTGATTGTTGCTTCACAATTTGTTTGTAACACAAAATAAATAACATTTGGCTCCACACACATACACACACATATTTTGCTTTAAATCCCATATACGTACACTATAAGTGGGCACTATGAATATAGTGTTATTAAAATAATATGGCAGTTTTTTTTAGAAAGGCACAACTTTACTTGACCCGTAATAAGGAATGCAGATTCCCATACATTGTGTGTATGTGTTTTTATTTAAATAAGACATATTCAGTAAGAATCTTATATATTTCAATAAATTGCTGTAATAAAAATATATTAGTGAAAGATCTGCATAGTAAATCTTTAAGCACAAATTGATATGAATGTGGTGATGTGTGAGGCGTGTCTGTGACACAGTAAATTGATGACTTATAGGCCCATTTGGCAGTGTACTATAATTGTACACATATATGCTCATTATTTGTAATTGGCTAAATATGTACATGTCACAATAATAAACAAATTCCTTCTTTCCTTATTATATATTATACTGCGTAACACACCTATTCGCCACTATTAGTGACTCTGAGACATTTGAAAGGTTAAGAGGCCAATAAAAATTGCCTTTTATGTTCAAGTCATTAGATAAACACCTTTGCAACACCTAGGCAGGTGCGTAACAACTGGATGACAGCATTAGGGAGTACACTATGACCAATTTTGCATGAAACTGACACGTATATATTCCATCCCAGCTCATGAACGTATCTTTTGGCTGAGCTGCGGCTTAAGCCAGGGCCTGAATCCGCCACTGTATAACTGCACCATTAAATAACTGTTCACGAATATATTTTTCTGTCAGACTGCATATATATATATAAAATTATATTGCATAAACTTTTTCTACTAATATTTATATTCTTTCCTGGACAATTTATATATTTAGTGCTTGGTACGTATTTATATATATACGCAAAATGGTCACCGCAGTTTGTGTACGGAAAATACCGATGATAGGCGAAATGTGAAAAATTCCGTTGATCTCGATAACAGAGTTCTCGCCCCTTAACAGTTCACACTCGTTAGACATTGTTTAAATTGTTAATATATTGTAAGATGATCAAACATAATCCACAAAGCATCAGACACCGAGCTTTATTTAGCATAAACACTGAATAATGGAAATAAGCAAAAGCTAATAGTTATCACGCCATGCAAGCGATAAATCATATAAGTCACACGTAAACAAAATCCATCGTGTAATTTAAGGTGTACAAAAAGTAGGGAAGAAGAATAGTCGATTTTAAATCACTTCTACATAAAAGTAATACAAAAAGAACTAAACCGTATATAGTTTGTAAAGAGCATGAAGAAAGGTAGCTTATACATAAAGTTATATGACGTTAACATTTTAATATTCTAAAACAGTACGATGAATGACTTGTGCAAGTTTAATAGTTATCACTCAATGATAGAATTAGTCACTACGAACGTTTGAATGAAATAATGGCAAATAGAATGCAGCTTCATGCAATGTTAAGATATCATAAAGCAAGATGGAATCAAGCATAATGCAAGTTCCAATGTCATCAAGCAAGATGGAATCAAGCATAATGCATGTTTAAATATCATAAAGCAAGATGGAATTAAGCATAATGCAAGTTCCAATGTCATCAAGCAAAATAGAATAAATGCATTAATTCTGTTCCATAAATAACTGCTGTCGTCTTCACTTTTATTTAGAAATAAGATTTATTTCAAAGGGAAGGAACTTTTCTCATTTGTCAACTAAAACATGACTTTATCAATAAGATAGACAATATTAACCAATTATTCCAATTTCAAAGCCCAGACACATTTAAGGTTATAAAGTTAAATTGACATTCATTGCGTTATTACAGTCAATTTTTGTATACACATGGTTATGAAAAAGAGAATAATGAAGGAAACGTGGTAAACAAACATTTAAATCATATGATATCCAAAATTTGGCGATACACATTCTGTATTTAGTTAATTACCTTCAAAACGGACATTCAGAGGTAACAAGCTGTAACTTCATACTGGTGCAGGGAAGAGCTCTATTGTTGTCTGCGCATGTGCACCGGAAGGCGAAAACACGAACAGGCGAAAACACGAAACCGCGAAAATACGAAAACATGAGGGGACGAAAACACGAAGGTCAAAAGATATTCATGTGGAAGGTGCATCGCAATTTTTTTATTGATAGGCAGTTACAGAATAAAACATGATTCACCATGACCAAATTGCACAATATACCAATTAACATGAAAACATTTAATTCGTAAGCCTTTTCTGTTATGTCATTTATGGTCGAGTTCACAGACATAAGGTTGTATTTTATACTTTCATGTAATGTTAAATCGTATGAATTGACATTTTTTTTGCTTCTTTAATGAACCTTCCGCGTTGATAGCTTTTCCATATTAAGAAATTATTACAAATGAAAGTTTTAAGCCTTATACTACAGTTCCATAAAGGTAGATTGAAAACTGTGTTATAGAATTTGTTTAAACTTTGAAATTAGCTTGGTAACAGATACATTGTAAAGCTGCGTTAAAATGTTTTTAAAAAATTAAACTTAAGAAAAGAGTACTAAGAATTTAAAAAAGTGTACTAAGAATTTTAGAAAAGTCAAGATTCAAGTAATAATTTACATGTTACTTGCGATTAATGACTGATTTTGCAGTTATCAATATTTCTCTACTGTTTTCCATTATTTCGATATCTGTTTGGCAATAATTGACGTGGATTGTAAGTGCTTTTTGCAATGAGTAAATCACTTTCTTTTTTCACTTCACAATATTTTACTTTTTAATACATTTCCAAATTTTTCACGAAAATTGCTATGAATCTGGAGGAATGCTGCTTGAAGCGAAAACTTGGATACAAAGCAATGAGTATAAAGTTTCTTACTCAATAAAACAACGACTTGCCCCTGACGGGACTTGAACGATGAACCCACGCAGCCAGCAATTCTTAGACCATAGTTCAAAAGTAATTGTGTA